CAAACGACAGTGAGAACAATTAAACAATGGAACTGCTAGCCTCCTGGAATTATGGATACTCCATTGCTGGAGGTTTTCAAGAGACGTTTAGACAACCTTTTGTCTGTAATGGCATTGTGCAGAGCATTGGACTAGAAGACCTCCAAGGTCCCTTCCAGTTCTATGATTCTACAGCAAACAGATGAATGGAGAACTTTCTTGGATCCCCCCTACCTGCCTGGAAGCTTCTCCAAGCATTAAGCTATGATCTATTATGAACTTTTAACTAAGCTTAGGATTCCCTGTCCAGACAACTTGTCTATACTTTGACCAGATGCAAGGCAACTTGATCAAGAGAAGGTGGTGATGCGGAACAAAATATTTTACAAGAAACAGTGCCTGCATAATTAGATATGAAGAGAGAGAAAAAACCAGTAAGCAAAGACAGATCCTTTTTGGGATTATGGCCAGAATAACATCCAGAAGGAAGCAGATGTGATGCAAAGATCAGTGCACGGGCCAAGTGTTACTGCCTAAGAGCATACTTGAATTTCTGTTGGGAAAAAAAAGTGGAGCATTTTCACAGGCTCTAAAAATGTTACATGAGCAGCCATGTTAGCAGAACTGTGATACTGTACTACTTATATTGCAATGATAAGCTTAGTTATGTACAGAATCAATAAAGAGGGGGCCATTAGAGCCAAAAAATAGTGCCAAAATGAGAATCCATCTGGGAGGTGATGCCAGTTTTAGATGAAACATTTAAATTATGCATATGCTTTGATGTTGTAACCTCCATCACTCCCCACACTTTTGGCAAAAGTTAATGTAACAGAGCAAAACAGATTACACAAGACAAGTTTGGGCTTATTAAAACATTGCACACCATCTAATTTACTGTTTCCATTCTGTAAGGAATTCCATTTTTCATTTTCTTTTCCCACATAAATGTTTCCCGAAGGTGCAAAGCTTGTAGAGATAAGCAGATGTAAAGGAATCCTGCAGCTCTTTTGTTTCCCGCTGCCACATTCTGCCATTTGTTTCCTCGATACATTTGCAGGTTCCTTTGAGAAATGTCAAGGAAAAATATATATTTTTTAATTTTCCTCTCTGCTCCGTCCAGCTCTTGTGGGGACAGAGCAGAAGAGGCTGACTGGGATGGAGAAAAAAAAATATATTGTAGCTCATCAGCCTGAATAACTCAAGAAGCAGCTCTTCTGTTGACTTCCACTACAATTTGGTGTGTCGGGTTGCAAGAATATCACATGCCTTAAGCAGATGGTCACAGGAATTTGGTCTCCCATAGTTAATTCTTAGCACTGTAATAATGAGGTTTTGCTTCCCAGAAGAAAGACAGATTCCATAAACTTACCCAATCAAAAAATAAAGAATGCATTCCTCCTCCTCCTCTTCCTCCTCCTCCTCTTTTTCCATCGTGATGAAGGAAGCCACAGAGTTACTTGAGAGTGAGATGGGCAGCATATAAATTTAATAAACAAAGATAGAAGAAAGGAAAAAGAAATGTCAAAGGCCAGCACAAAAACCTTTACTGCAAACCCTTGAGTGGTTTATATTTTCTCTGGCCAAGCTATGCATCAGGAAAGAACTGGGTCAGAAAAACTGTTTTATTTTTATTTTCTAAAACCAACTTTGGCTTGTCACTCCCTTTTTAATTTTATTTCTCATTGATTCCCAAAGAGTTTAGTGATGGAGCAGGAGCAAATGAACAGTTGGTGCTACTTCTCTCTATGGCTGAAGAACCTTGCTCTTTCTCTCCCAACCAAATCTTGCAGTCCTCTGCAGTCACCTGCCGTACAGCCCAGATTAACAGAATAACAGAATAACTGAGTTGAAAGGTCTAGTTCAGGGGCCCCCAACCCCCTGGAGCCACGGCCTATTCAGAATTGGGCTGCATGAGTGGCTGACTGGCTGGCTTGCCAGTATCTTCTGCCCAGGTCTGAGACAGGGTCACTGGCTCAAGATCATGCAGACAGTTTTGTAGTTAAGGCAAGCCTGGAACTCAGTCTCCTGACTTCTAATCCAGCGCCTTAAATATTGGGTCAATCAACTCTTATAGATAATAGTAGGAGAAACTAATTGGAGTTATTCCATAGTTCCTGTTATGCTAATCCTTTAATCTAGTAGTTATTCTAGCTGTGACTTGGCAACATGTTTTATTACAGGCCTAGGAACTCCAAACTACTTTCCTACACATAAATCCCTTTCACATAGAGACAAGCTCAAGATTTTTGTAGCCCACTTAGAAAAATAACAAGATGAAGCCAACATAATCTGCACAAACCATAATGATACCAAGCTGACCAAGACATCACATTTACACAGTGATGTCTTCACATGAATGCTGCTCTTATATACTTTCATCCTGATGTCTGGCACAAATGCAAAAGTTGTGATGTTCGCACTATGATATTCTGCACATTCTTCATTTGCTTCCCCGGCCTGCCACTCATTCAATGGAGGGTGGCTTTTCTTAATTCTTTGTACACAGACAAAGGAGTCAGGAGGTCAACTCTTATCTCAATACTGACAATAGGAAGGTGTCCAGTGCCACACTTATGGGGCAGCAAAGTAGTTTTGAGTGTTTTTCAAACTTGGCAATTTTAAGATGTGTGGACTTCAACTCCTAGAATGCCTTGTTATGATCATGCTGGCTGGGGAATTCTGGGAATTGAAATCTACACATCTTAAAAGTTGCCAAATTGAAAAACATTGGGTTAGACCAGTGGTGGCAAACCTATGGCACACGTGCCAGAGGTGGCACTCGGAGCCCTCTCTGTGGGCACGTGTGCCATTGCCCCAGCCTCGCCTCCCCCTGAACCCCCCTCCTCACCAGCAGCCTGCCTGGAGGAGAGTCTCCCCCAGACACGGCCCATGTGCAGCAGCATAGCCAAGCACATGGCAGCCGGGCAGCAGGGGCAAGACTCCGCCCTAGCGCCCCATCACGTGCAGATGATGTTGCGGGGTGCGGGTGTAGGGTGTGGCCGCCATGGCGCTGCAAGGCCACCTGAGCGATCTGTGGTGAGTGGCCCTGTAGGGGGGCAGATCAGGGGGCAGAGCGGGGGCGGGCTGGGCAGTTTTGGATACTTGGTCTCTAAAAGGTTCGCCATCACTGGGTTAGACAGTGAAAGTCAAGCTGTCTAGCAAAAGCCTCTTTGCTCTTCTGAATACCTTGAAGGCATCATTGTAATGTCCTTTATGTCAATATGAGGCCATTTCCTCAGCTATGTTACAACGCTGGAAAAATTTCCTCTCATCTATAGGTCAGCCCATTAGTAGGCTTATATATTTCCTGCTATGTAAATGATACTTGAGGACTACCATTACAATTTTTACCTTTCTTACAAGGAAATGATTTTAGCATGAATGAATAGTTGGGTCTACTCTCAATGTGCAAGACGTAACCTTCTGACAAGATGTTCTGCTGCTCCCTAGCACAGGGAAACATGAAGGGCAGCATGACGGAATAAGTATGAGGGAACTTCAACTTCCCAAGGGTACTTTTATCTTACCTATGTCTCAAGCCAGTGGTGGCGAACCTATGGCACAGGTGCCAAAGGCGGCACTCAGAGCCCTTTCTGTGGGCACCTGTGCCATTGCTCCAGCCCCGCCTCCCTCCTCTCCTCACTAGCAGCCCCCCCAGAGGAGAGTCACCCCTGAACGCAGCCCATGCAGAGCAGCACAGCCAAGGACATGGCAGCTGGGCAGGGGGATAAGACTCCGCCATCATGCCCCGTTGCACGCAGTTGATGCTGCGGGGGCGCGGGCAGGGCAGGGGCTGCCATGGCACTGCTGGGCCACCTGGGTGATCTGCAGCAGGCCATGGAGGTGGTGGGTGGCCCTGTGGGCGGGCGCAGGGTGCGGGGACAGAGAGGGGGGGGACAGGGCAGGCCCGGGTTTTGGGCACTCGGTCTCTAAATGGTTCCCCATCACTGTCTTAAGCCCATGACTGAAGACATTGCGTTGATTAATAATGAACCTGGCTCAGATGCATGTACTACCTGGTATTCTAATGAAAAGGAAACTTGAGGAGGAGGAGGAGGAAGAAGAAGAAGAAGGAGGAGGAGGAGGAGGAGGAGGAGGAGGAGGAGGAGGAGGAGGAGGAGAAGGAGAAGGAGAAGGAGAAGGAGAAGAAGAAGACAGGTTTTTGAATATATCAACATCAAGGCTGGGAGTAATGACCTGCTCCATAATTTCCCTTCAGTTGCATAATGTTGCCCAGATGTTCACAAGCACTTGTAACTTATCATTCTTGTACAGGATGGATGAGAAGAAATCCATAGGAAACCTTCTGGATGAATAAAACCCTTAAAACCTGTTTTCGGGGTGTGTGTGTGTGTGTACGTGTAGGAAACCTCTGAAAGGAAAACTAAGCTACAAGTCTTGGGAACCACTTGAATCTGTGAACTTTTGAGGGAGGATGCTAAACAGTCTGGGGAAAATTATTTGGTCTTTTTAAAGCAGAAGACATTCATTTAGACATTAATTCACCCTTAATAATTCCCAACCCTTCTGCCAATTCAATTGTGGTCACACCCCTTTTTGTAGTGTGCCATCAACAGTAGGATTAGCAGTGGCCATCCAGATTTAGGGAGCCCAAAAGAAAAATCTAGTTAAACTTGATGTGGACTCTGAACTAATCAAAAATTGTACATCTCTGGTTTAGCAGTATGTTTAATTATATTACATATGCAAAATCTATCCTTCTATATCCCTTCTTAAAAAGAAATTCAAACCTGGAAACTTTTCGTTTACTATAACTTAAAGGGTGACAGTAAAAATTACTATAGCCCTACATATCTGAATTTGCTAAACAACTAAAATCAAAGGCCATTCGGAAGAAAACAAAACAAGTCAACAACCATGAGTTAAAGAAGCCAGAACTTAGTTTGATCTAGAAAATTAGCAGGTTCTTCTTGTCTTACATAGTACTTCACAAGGTTGTTGTATGGATAAAAGTTTGGGCCTGTATTTAAAAGAGAAGCAATAAAAATGCAATTAAATGAATCCCGGAACAGAAAAAATGGAATATAGCCCTTCTGTCCCTTGGGTGTATTTTGTCTTTCACGTTTAAAAAAAAAAAAAAAAACACTTTTGTCTTCAGACCTATGACTTTCCTCGCCTGCAGTCTCAATCCGCCTAGCAGAGCCCGTGTTTCGGACGGCTCGGGTTTGGTTGATTGTGTGACGGAGATTCTCAGCGATCACATACGGCAGGCCGACCTCCGGGCGAGCTGACCCCAACATCGCCGCTGCTGAGATCGGAGCTGCCTGTTTCGAATCACGGAGATTGCAATGGCGCTACCGGCCAGCAGGAGGAGACAGGAGGCCGGCTAGGCAGCCCCGCGGAGAGGAGCGGGGACCGCGCTGAAGAGAAGGGGCGAGCAAAGACGGCGCGGAGGCGAGGCTGAGCTCTGCTAAGTGGGGAAGTGCGGAGGAAGAGCGCGGTCTCTGCACCGGCCCGTCGGCGTCCACTCCCAGCCACCTTCTGCGGACACCGCTTCCTAACCCTCCCTTTGGCAGCTTTCAAGGCGCCCCTGGCCCTTGCGCCCACCGGCTCCATGGCTGCTTCGGCTTCGCGGACCTTCTTGCTCACCGTCGGGGCGCTCCTGGTCCTCTTCGCTGCCCTGCTCCACTCCGCCTCCCCAGGTACAGTCCCCGGTTCGTTCTCTCGACGGCGCGCCCGCGGGCGCCCTTGTGGAGAGGGAGGGAACTCGGGAGACCCTGGGGTAGTTTGCAGAAGGGGTTGGGACGCCCTCCCCCCTCTCTCCCTCCCTCCCTTCCTCTCTCTCCGTCCCCCTCTCCCTCTCTCGACGGTTAAATTCCTCAGCCTGGCACCCCAGGGTGCGTGGGACTACAGCTCCCCAGTTGGCTATGTTGGCAAAGGAAGACGGGAGTTTTAACTCTGTGTCTCTGGAGGGCCCCGCGCTCAAGAGAATCGCAATGGAAGCCACTTCCCCACCGCAGGAATACCTTGCGTGAGAAATGCCGCGCTTCCCAATTCTTATCGCCTCTCTTGCCCCCCCCCCCATAACTCTTATCTCCACCTGCTTTGCGGTCTGTCAGCCAATTGGGCTTCCTGACAGAGCAAACGTCTGCTAGCCTGGATTTTTTTTTTTTTTTTTGCATCACACATAGATAGATGAACATGCAAAAGCGATTGGCCAGCATTGTCTTCTTTTTCTTTTAAAAGAGGATTGATGGACCATGGCTCTCCACACAAAAAAATTTTTTTAAAGAAAACCTCATAGGAATGCAATGGAGCAAATGTTTATTTGTGTACATGGGATCACTGCTTAACACACACACACACACACACACACACACACACACACTTTTCCAAAGCTCTGATCTCCACCTTTATTGTCCTTCCATGTCTGTTTTGGTTGCACAGTCCCACAGAGCCAGGAAACCTGAACCAGTTGTTCCTAAGTGTAAAGCAAACACAAAATACATCTCTTCCGAGGAGCTCAGGGAAGCTTCTCAGTTGTTTGCAAGGCAAAGATTGCAATCCAGGGATAGCATTCCTACCAAATGCTGCAGGGTAGATTTGCAGTAATTATGCATAGGTTAACTCCAGAAGAGAAATGGTTAGTGATTGGAAATAAGATTTGGAGGGGGGGGGGGGAAATGAAACAGTGAGGAATGACTGAGGGAGAATTTGCCACGCACACGCTGTTGGAGAGGATTTCCAGGGTCTGGATTTTTTTTCTCCTGCTCAGAATGCTCCCCACATCCACTTTTTATAAAAATATGTATTATTGGTAAATGTCATTGAAAAAAAATTGTCTAGAATCTGTAAAGATACTTCAGATTTGTGTTGGGAGTGTAACCAGCAAGAGAGATCTTTTATCATATATGCTGGATGTGCAAAAAAAAAAAAAAAAACTAGGAAGTTTTGGGTTCAATTACATTTCATTAATTCAGAGGATTTTTAAGATTTATGTACAACTGAAACTAGAGGCTTTTTTTTGGAACTGATTGATAAATAGTTGGGAACTTCATGGAGCTTCATTTTTATATATGGCTACTGCAACAAGACTATTATAAGCACAAAGGAGAAAAGATTTGATACTATCCACAATGGAGGAATGGAGGATGAAGATGATGGAACTTGCTGAGATGGCCAGATTGACAACTCTGATCAGAAAAAAAAGATCTATTATCTAAGTTCAGTGCTGACTGGAAACCCCTACAGACTTTGTGTGAAATGGTGGGGGGTGGGGGGGGAATGAAATTGTGACATATGGTTTTAATGACTAGAAAAAAATAGATGGTAGAAAAAGTGTAAGTCATGTTGTAACCATGAGTAAGAAGTTAATTTATCTGTAACTATTATAAAAAAAATCAAAAGTCTATTCTTCCTTCCTTCCTTCCTTCCTTCCTTCCTTCCCTCCCTCCCTCCCTCCCTCCCTCCCTCCCTCCCTCCCTTTTGCCTTTTTCTTTTCCTCTCTTTTTTCTCTATTCTAAATATTCTTGCTAGATTTTAATCTTTTTAAAATAAAATTATATGCATAAGAAAAGAATGTTCCCCACCTCCCACTCCTTTTTTTGCTTTTATTTTTGGTCCTTTTGATCTGTGTTTAAAAAAAGCATGTACTTTTCTCTTATAGGAAGGGCAGAAATGGTAAGTAGCTGAATATGCCCATACAAGTTGAGCTTGGGAGTAAAGTACAGGAATTCCTAGTGCATATTTGCCCACAGGGCCAGTTCCTCGCCATAATATGATGATAGGATTGTTAAGGTAGGGACTAAATCCTAAATTAGCAAATCCGTTTAGAATCAAAGAAACATCAATCTGAGAAAATACAGTATAAGTTCATAATGTCAAGTTGGAAAGTTGAAACAAAAACAAGTGCGCCTTACTGAGTGGTTTCTCCTCTCCCAGGTTTTGAATATCAGCTATTTCATGGTATTTTTAAAAAAACGCATTATGAAGTATCTTTCATCAGGCGTACATTGTGTCAATACTGTGGTTGTTTCCAGCAAGATGTCTTAGATTATAAAGATGGGTGTGGCAACTCCTGAAGAGTTCCCACTGCATTTTTCAGCTCTTCTTTTGGAGAAAAAAAAGCTTTGCAGGACAGTGGCTTCCAGGAAGCGTCTGCTGGAACACTTTAGTCTAACACAATACGGAACTCTACAAAGACTTTAAATCAGTGGTTCTCAACCTGTGGGTGGGGACCCCATTTGGGGTCAAACGACCATTTCATGGGGGTCACCAAACAACGCAATCCGCCATTTTTTCCCCCTTAGCTGTGCTACTCCCTTTTATTCTATTGGCTTTTGAAAGCCAATAGAATAGACTTTCTTGAATAGAGTCTAATTCTATTGGCTTTCCAAAGCCAATAGGAATTGTCCAGGCTGTCTCTGCCCTGCTGAGCCTGCCAAAAGTCCCATTCTGCAAACGGTGCTGCACCAGTTGAGTAGTCCTCGACTTATGACCGGTTGAGTTGTCCTCGACGTACGACCGGTTGGGGTCGCGGCATTAAAAAGGTTGAGAACCACTGCATTAAAGTATCTGCAACTCACTCAGAGGTCACTTATTGGTTCTCTGAACAGTTCCTGATGATCTAATCAGAGTTGTTAATAGCAATTGGGAGCTCCTAATGCCACAGAGAGGTGTTTTGGTTGTTTTTTTTTTTTTTTTTGGTCTTTGCCCGAAGTCTTGTGCTGAACCTCAACTTCATCCCGTTTAACTCAGTTACAACAATTGGATGCACAAATCAAAGAATTTTGTGGAGAAAACCAATTGGATGACCAGGGGCAAAAAAGTTTTGTCTTTGCTTTTATATGGAAACAGTCACAAGATATTGAAGGCTGAGTAGTCTGCCTGGGATAAAATAATTGCTGGCTCTATTCTGTTCAGTTCCAAATAAACTTGTTATAGATAATCGTTGACTTACAACCGGTGACTACTTGAAATTACGACCTACCTGAAAAAGGGAATTTACGGCCTAGATCAGGTGTAGGCAACCTTGGCCTAGATCCAAAGTTCCAATGAAGCCCCCCCCCTGCAGTCACATGACTGCACTTTGGGTGCTCAGCAATATGGCTATATTTACGGTGGTGTGTTGCATCCTACAGTAATGTGACAAGTTTTACACCAGTGTTATGCAAAACTGGTTACTTCTGGTTTTCGTCAAAAACTGTGCCCATTGTGATCCATCGGTTTGCGTAACAACTGCTGCATTTGTTTAACGACTGCCACAAAAAATGTTATAAAATCGTGACTGACCCATTTTTTTGACTGTTATGACTTAAATAGTAATGGGAAAGCTCTATTACCGTCTTAATTTGAAGACTATTTGTACTTGCTTGGAAAGAATTCTAGAATTTCAAAAATCTGGAATTTAGTGAAAGGACACCCACATGAATTATCATGTCTAATATTTACTGCTCCATTCACCCGAGCAGCCTATCTTGGCCTTAACTTTCCTCGCCTTCCAGAGATGTAATTCTTAATCTCATAATTGAGAATGATGCTTAGCCATGCTAACTGGGAAGGATGAGATAACAATCCAGCACATCTGTATGACCAGTCTACTATCAGCACTGCAATCTTATACATGTCAACTCAGAATTAAACTTTATTAAGGCAAACCCGCACAGATTAGCCCACTAGCTGTTTCCTAAGGACATGCCCACCTCCCACCCCCTCTATCTCATTGACCACTTGCAAATGAGGCAAACCAAGCACAGCTTTAGATACTCCACTCTGGAAGTAACTTCCCCCCCCCTTCTCCTACCTGCATATGCCAAACATAGGCAACGAAGGGCACAATGATAAGTCTTGGGGGAGGTCGCCAAAAATGTGCTCCTTGCTATGCTCTGTGTCAGTAAATTTGTGGCTTTGGTTGGTTCTGCCAGTTTCCTGTGGAGCTGCACTCTTTCATCTGATTATTGACTCGTTCTTAGACTGGTCTTATAGATGTGATGGACTATTATCTCATCACTATCTCCTTCTACCAAAGGAGCAATTAACAAGCATATCGATCTAGATCAGGGGTGTCAAACTCGCAATGTCACATGACAAGTCGTGATGTATCACAACTTTTTTTCCATTGCCGGCAATGGGGTGGGCAAGGTTTCGGCATGATGCATCCTGCCCATGGGCCGTTAGTTTGACACCCCTGATCTAGATCCAGCATATGAATAGGTGAGAAACGAGACCATTTGAACTGCCAATCAATAAGAGAACCAGAACTGCTCAGAATTCAAACATAGCACCAAACGAACAACCAATCGCACGACCAACTGACCACACTGACACACATTTATAAGCTAAGGAGAATAGGACAAGAAAATCCTGCTGATGATGTTACCTGGTTTGGAAACGAAACGTTCAGAGAACAAACCGCAGCCAAAATTATCTCATCATTTCCAGTTAGCATGGCTAAGCATCGTTCTCAATATGAGATTAAGAAATACATCTCTGGAAAGCAGCTGGGGAGGAAAGCTGCAGTAGACCAGTGCTTCTCAACCCTGGCAATTTTAAGATGGTGGAGGAAAGTTGCAACAGACCAGACCAGTGTGGATTTCAGTTCCCCAAATTCCCCAGGCAGCATTTGGGAATTCTGAGAGTTGAAGCCCATAGACCTTAAAGTTACCTAGGTTGAGAAACACTGCTGTGGATAAATCCTTTATTG